GTGGTCGTGGTCGTGGTCGTGGTCGTGGTCATCGTCGTTGTCGTCCATGTCACCGTTGTTGGAGACATCCGCATCGCTCAAGATACATTCGTGCTACCACCGAGCATCCTGCTCGCATCATGCATCTGGTCTGCTCACCTCGCGCAGCCCGCTCGCCTCGTTCGTTCAGTCAACTCGCCCCATTCGCAACTTGTGCCGGTGGATGGATTGCGCATTCGAAGTATGTTACAAGGGATCGGAGATGGTGGCGCCTAGAGCTGCACGGTGCGTGCGCCGTCGCGGTCGATGACGCGCACGGTAAACTGGCCGAGGTCGACGATGAAGCGCTGCTTGAGCTCGTTGATGCACCTCCTAAGCAGGTCGAGACCCTCCTCGAGCGACATGTCGGGGCGGTGGTAGCGGTCGAGTGTCGACATGGCAAAGAAGGCGCCGTATCCATGCGCTGCAAATGGAACCGTCGCCATGGTGCCCAGATAGTCGATCCAGTACAGCGCCGGTTCGGACGTGGGCAGATCGAACCCGCCCAGCAGCAGGTTCACCTGGTACGGACTGCGCGAACGTAACGACTCGGCGAGCTGCTTTCGAATCCATGCCGCCGCCGACTTGGGCCTCAATTCAACATGATGCCTGTTCCAAAAGCCTAAAGTCAGTCACGATGCTTGAGAGCGCTCGAGATGGACGAGTGCGCGGGGACTTACCTGATGCTGTAGAGTCTGGTGTTGCGTTCAATGTACTCGGAGAACTGGAGCGTGTCACCCGGCTCGCCGGAAAAGGTCATGACGAGGTGGTCGCTCAGCACCTTTTGCTTGTCCACGTCCGACTTCATCTTGACGATCGAGCGCGCCGCATTCGAGTCCGATGCGATGATCGTGTAGCCCTTGCCCGTGATACCGAACGAGCACTCCATCTTGGCCTACGTGTTCAGTGCGGGAGCCGCGGGTTGAAAGTGGAAGCCTTAGAGCGGAGAGCGGGAGTCGGAGCGCTGCGGTGCGGCGGTGCAATGGTGCGGCTGAGGCTGGTCGATGTGCGACGCTGCGATGCTATGCGTGGTGCAAGATCGAGGTGGATAGAGGAGTGGGAGTGAGGAGGATGAGGGTTTCGAGTGGAGCAGCCAAGGATGCGTAACCGGCGAAAGTGGCACTTGCGCAACCCGCAGCCGCCTCAGCCTGGGGCGGCCCGCCTGTCATTCTACGCGTGTTGCGTAGCCAATGTGGAGTGATCGACTCGCCGTGTGCAGGCTTGGATTTTCCAGCTTCCGAGATTTCGAAAATGCATCTTGGCGGAAAATGAGAGTCTAACACTGTGAATTTTCGCTCACGCGTCTCTGACGCGCCGACTCCCACGCCGAGCTGCAGCCTCGCAGCCAAAAGCTTTTGGATGCAGGGCGCGCAGGGTGTTGATCTTGCCGCATCCACCTCATCCTCTTCTATCGACCTCCATCCGACATAGAACCGCGCCTAATCACCCTGAAGCTGCACTTTCAATGATGCCGTCAGCACGACGCTCTTCACAGGCCGCAACGGCATCCGCATCCGCATCCGCATCGGCACCCTCGACCGAAGCGGGCCCATCCAGCATCCCCGCCACATCCTCAATGTCCAAGGCATCCGCCGCCGCTGCTGCCGCCGCCGCGGACAAGAAGGAAGAGGCCTCGACGGACGCGCATCTGGAGCTGCTCACGGAGCATTTCGGCTACAACCCCAAGTCATTCATCGACGCGCTCGTGTACCTCTCCAACGAGCACCTGTACAGCATCGCGACCGAGTTTGAAAACGTCGTGGGCGGCCTGCTCGACAGCGTCGATGGTGGCGAGCTCGAAGCCGAGCAGGGAATCCATGCGATCCTCACACTCATGGAGAACGCGCTGGACCACACCATGGACACGTTCGAGCTGTACTGCTTCCGCTCCGTATTCGGGATCCGGCCGAGGCAGGCCAAGTACATGACGCTCGACCACCACCGGGGGCTCGATCTGCGGCCGCAACAACCGACCGCAGAAGACAAGGCCAGATCAAAGGGAGGGAGAAAAAGTGCAGTGGCATCAGCAAACAGCGCAAGTGAGCGTAGTTACAAGCTCGGCGAAACAGAGGACTCGCTAAAACGCCAGATCGCGGCAGTAAGTACACCCCTGCTCTTGCCTTCGAACGCGAGCTCCAGACTGATTGTTGATCGTTTCTTTGTTGTTGCTAGGCGAGAGCAACGCAGCACAAGCTGCTTCTTGCGCAAGCTGCGTCGGAACAGACGCTGTCACGAATGCTGTCGCTATCGGAGCGATTCTCGTCGATCCTTGCACGCACCGATTCGGCGCCCTTGCTGAGCGAGACGCTCGGGCAGTATGCGCGGAAGCTCCGTGCGGACACTGCGCCGCTTTTGCGATCGGTGGGTGAGCTGCGTGCCGCGGATCCGCTGGGCGCGCCTCTGCACTCGTCCACCGCTGTCGAGGCGGACGACGACGAGGGCGCAGCGACAGACGTGCGTGCGTGGCAGCGCGGCAGAGAAGGATACCTCAACTGGGAGGCGGATAGGATCATCGCCAAGTCGAAGCGCAAAGATGCCCCGGCGACTGCGACGGTGCCGGTGGTGGAGAAGGAGGCGGATGAAAAGACGCCTAAGAAGAAGAGGATCGCGGCTGCCACGCCTGCGTCCAAACGCAGGACACCAGCATCCACACGCCGCGCTTAGCACCGCACACCGCTACTTTTTTTACTGCCAATACATGCGTGCATAATACATGCGTGCATACGCTTCGGAACGCAGCCCGCACCAGAGCGTGCCTAACCAGCAACTGTCGGTTGAGAGAAGGGGCGAATCGGGCGTGCAAACGGCGGGAGGTCGGCATCTGGCCTGGCAGCAACCTTGCAACATGAGGTTCACACGGTCAGTAGGGTAGGCGCAACACTGGCGCGATGCCGAGATACGAGTGTCGCTACCAACGCTGCGGGCTAAGCCTTCGCCTTGTCGCGTCGCTAGCCGTCGGCCCATGCTGTTTTCTCTTTTCTTTTTGTCTTCATCAAGCGCTTCGTTCACAGGCGTTTGAAGATGCCACGCTGAGCAGCGGTGAGAGGGAAGAGAAGCTCGTCCGTCCTGGATCGGCTCGGCTCAGCTCGGGACAGTCTTGGCGTTCAGGCAGAGGTGCTGTGACAGTAGCGAGAAGCTTTCCATTGCAAAATCACAACTCGTGTCCCTCGCCGAGATGAGGGAATTAGTGTTTGTGTCCGGCAACTTGGCCACCGCTGCTGCTGCTGCTGCTTGCGGAAGACCGTGCGCAAGGGCACCCCTCGGGAGTCGAGAGTGCGGAAAGCTGCGCATCGTTGCCGCAAAGTGCGGAGAAGCTGAGTCGCGGCGCGGAGCACGTCTGGACACCGTTCTGTATCTGCTCATGTCGAGTCGCCCGTCTCCTCCTTCCCTTTTCCTGTACCACCATCACTCCGCTCCCCCCTGCCAATCCTCCTTTCCCTTCTCTCTCGTCTCTCACATCCCCTTTCCGTCTCTTCCTCCCTCTCTCTGTAGAAGACACGCCGCTTACACGCAAAGATGGCAAGGCGTGCGGCCGGGCCTTCGACTGCGCCTTCGACTGCGCCTCCCACGGGACCTTCGGCGCCAGCGTTCAACCTCTCTGCTACGAGGCTTCGAGGTGGACGCGGCCAACCTGGAAGGGGAACGACTCGCTATGCCGGCAACTCGGCTGCCGAAATCGCAAAGGCAAAGGAAGAGCTCTCGGCGTAAG